GTTGATATTTTAATAATAATAATAAATTCTAATATCTAAATAAATAAAAAAAATAAAGATTATTTTTTTTAGTAAAAAATTCTACCATGTAATAAATATTTTTTTCTGCATCATTAAGCATTAAATAATGGCATTTCAAAAAAAGGAAAACATTTTTATTTTCAAGTTATACTTCATTTAATGTTTGAAAGGAAAATAAATTTAAATGATTCAAAAATTCATATCCCTGAAAATATTTAACTTGTAATATAAAATTACAGGATAAATAAATATTGTAAAGTCAATTAAGTCATTTTGTTCCACTCCCTGGAATATGGTAATTACTTTAATGGGGATGAAAAAGCATAAATGTATCTTTTAATAGTTGAAATAATATCTAATATATTTAAAAAAATATATAATTGATAGTGCTGGATTATCCACTAGGAACGTGCATAGGAGTCCGGGGTTCTCGGTGGCCCCAAAATTAGAAAAAAATAATAATTTTACTGTTGCAATTGTATATTATATTTTATAAAAAAGAAAATACCGTAGCTACAATTAGACATTATTAGTTTATGATGATGTAAAATTATGTGGAAGGGCATCCAATCTTCTATGCCTAGGGGCCTTGAAAAGTCTTCATGCACTAATGATTAATACCAAACTTAAATTGATAAATTGTAAATTGAACAAAATATAAATTAATAACAAGCAAATTTTATACTTTACAATCATAAATCCTTATTTAAAACTTAAAAAAGTTGTTTTTTTTTATATTGAATAATATCTTACAATATTTATTTATTAATAATGAGATTCTTAAAAAGAAACAAATATATTTTAAAATTTAGAAAATATAATTCTATAATTGATATATTTTGTTTGATTAAAAAATTGAAATATTTTTATATATGATAGTATGTTAAAATTGTTTTACTGTATTTATTCTATGAAGCAAAACTTATATTTTTCTTTCTTTCTTTTTTGTTTTTATCAATAGAATTATAGTTTACTGCAAGATAATATGCATAGAAATATTTTCTGATGCGTATTGTTAATCTGTAATCATCTTATCTTATTTTACAATGCTTTTTAAAGTTCCCACAATTAAAATTTAAAATAAAATATATATAAATTTATGTATAAAATGTTGTTTTTTTAGGAGAATACTTTAAATATATTCGATCAAATGTTTATTTTTGTAGAAAAGATCATTATCCTTTAGAATATATTATTTATGAAATGTATTCATATTTTAATGAAACCATATTTAAACTTTACGTTATTATTTCTTAAATAGTGGTGGTTATATTTATCGAAACTCTTTTGTTGATTTTTATCAAGTTATAGTGTTGATAAAAATATCCATGATTCTAAAATTATTTCCTAATTAACTGAATTAGTTTTTCCTCTGTATTGCTGATTAGTTATTTTGATAATTAATAATTCTATATAGGTTATGCTGATAATTATCTGAAACATTAAAAAAAAACTAAATATATAGTGATTAACACATTTCATTCACTGATTTCATTCTAAAACAATGAAGAATTAATATAACTTCACATTTGGATTAACATCTTCAATGCAACATACATGAAAAAAAAAACTATATATATACTGATGTATAATAGAATCTGTTTACTGTAATAAGACATTGTATTATCAGCCATCTAATGGGTACAGCCCTACTTTGCAGGTATGCAATGATATCACACCACATAAAGCAGGGATGTGCCTATGGGTAGCCTGCTATCAGGAATACTTTGCAAGCTGGTATTAAAATCAGTCATCTAATATATGAATTAGCATATCTTAATAATATATAAGTTAAAATACATTCCCGATGTTTACTGTAATTAGAGCTTTGATCATCATAATTTTCAGTAAATAGGCATTTTTAAGCTGTTATTTTTTGCCATTTTATATGCCAGCCACTGTTAAAGATAACAGTATAAAAAGCAGACAAATGAAAAAATTAAAGAGAATTTTTATAATTAATAAATCTCCAATATACCCTCTGTATTTTTTAATTGTTTTGATACTCTTTTTGTGTCAGACTGAATGAAATCAGAATTTCTATTATTTGTCATTCACTTATACCACTTAAGATATTGTTAATCATCAAATGTCCTAAAATGAATATACATTAAGCAGTTTCTGTTACACAAGAAAACTAATTGGTATGTATTTGATATACAATTAGTACATATGTAGGTGCCAGACATTTCCATAAATAAGTCCATGAGTTATTTCTGGATATTAGATTTATTTATTTACTTGTATTTAGATTTACCACCAACACAATTTTAGTAGACAACTTTTAAGCCAGTTTCAGAGAGAATTTTTTTCCTGTAAGTTAAAGAATCTAGAGAATCAGAAAGGCTATCAGGAATACAAGACGCCAAACGTACGCTCTTTTGTACAAGCTGATAAAAATGGAGAACTGCCTGTATGAACAAGAAAATAATGATGATGACAGAATAATATCTAAGTATTGGAATGAAGAAAAAAACAGATTATGCCATTTCCCTTAGAAAAATCATAATTTTTAATAAATAATTTTCCAAAAACAAACCCGGGTATATTTTTATCATCAATATTTTATACCAAAATCAATTAGAATTCATAATTAAGCTAGGACTTCATGTTTTACCGTAATTGTTAGAAAGCATTAATAACAGCTTTGTGTTTGTTAAGTTACAATGCAACACTTAGGCAATCTGCCTAGGGGAATGCCTTCCAGGAAGACTTTTTAAGGATAACTGGCCCCTATTCAGGTGTTACAGATGTGGAGAAAACCTGGAAAACTCCACATGGCCAGCCTGTCCTGGTGAGGCACAAACCCACAACTGAACTCCCAGTGTTTAGGGAATGGAACCGCTTGGCCATTGGTGGACCAATAGTTTTGTTTTAACTTTTGTTGTTGACAGATATAACATATATCTTGGGAGTGTAAGTGTCCATCTAATTGGCTTCTTTGGTAGCTGCGAATGCCATCATTTTCACACTTATACACACACTTTTAATTGAGTAACTTGTTTCTTCTATCCCTCTGCAGAGCTTAACAGAAAAATATATGCATTTATATCACACTACATACTAAATACACCTTACTACAATTAGATTTGACAAAACAAGACTTTATGCTCATTCTATAAAATATATTATTTGCTTTATATAGTTGTTTCTTTACATAAAACTTCCAAAAAACATATACATATTCAATTATAAAATGTCAATTGTTTGTGCTATTTTAAAATGTAACCAATTGTCAATGACTATTATCATCAATTACTCCAATGATTAATAATACAATCATTCAACATTGGTCTTTTTAGCTAAATCAATCATTGATGAAGATATCAAATATAAGCAAAAAAAAAAAAAAAAACTGTTTTTAATATGTTCTACGTCTACATAATATGAAAGCTGTTAAAAGAATTAAGATACAAAATTGGTAGATGATGTTTAAATCTAACTACAAATAAAAAATCATTTGTAATTGCATGAGTTTGTTTATAATTCTGATGTGTGGGGAGTTATCAGATAACGAATTTCATAAATTTGGATTTTTTATACTTCTAATAAAATGTACAATACTAATTTATTTTAGATTATTATTGGTAATTACAATTATATTTCTTCAAAAATGATATAAAGTTTAAGTTTTTTTACATTATTACATGATATTACAGACAAAATTTACAGAAATTTAATAGATTGATTAGACAATATCATTTACATAATAGTCTTAGATTCTTTACACCTTTAACACTGCAAATAACAAAGATTCAGCAGTATTACAAACATTATTAAATACATGTGTTTACTGTTGTGATAAATGGATTATTATGCACTGAAAAAGATAAAGCATTATTTCACTTATCACAAGCAGCAATCACAGATTGAGATGATAATTTTAAAGTGCATTGATTTCAATCTATCAAAATATTTTTATAGTTATTATAATACAAATAATTATTTCCAAATTTTTACTACCCCATCTCTCGAAGCCGAAAGTAAAAAATTCTGTGTTGTTTGTATCATACTTATATCACTGATGCAATCATGATGTCCAACAGCTGGAGTATCTGGATATTTCCAAGGAGGATCTTCACTACTCGATGGTCTAGATCTGCCATGTGTTTCCTGTATTACTTCTGTTCCATCTATTAAACGAGACATGTAACTAACAAATGTTGTATTTGGAGGATCATGAGCAGATCCTGCAATTATGTAAGAATCTGCTGCATAATCAATATCCCAATATCTGATTTTCATATCTGATCCTGCAGTTATTAAAAATATGCCTCTGTCAGTATTTCCTACATACATGGAGTATGTTGCATGTTTTGATGTTAATGATTGTGAAAGTGGTGGCATACTACTAGCCCAGAGAGTTGATGTTCGAGCTCCACTTTCCAGATCCCACAACGACACTTCGTTATTTCCTTGAACAGCTGAAAATGCTGACGAATGAAGATGTGGATGAAGTAAAAGACGACGAACTCGAGCTCCAGTGGGATGAACAATTGTTGTTATTGGAAGTCTGAAACGTAAATCCCAACAAACAAGATGCCCACTTGCTGTTCCTAATAATAACCAACAATGTTGAGTATCAACACAAAATGAGGTAATTAAGCCTTGTTTTGTGTTATTGTCTAACTTCCATGCAGTTCCAGGAGATCGAAGATCCCATCCAACAACTGATCCATACACAGTTGCATAGGCAAGAACAGACTGAAGACCTGCATCCAAATAATGCATATCAACAACAGATCCTTCTTCTTGAGGATCTAAATTTCTAGAAGTTAGAAGACATGTCTTTTGAAAACTTTGTTCTATTTTAAATACATGTATATTTCCATTATCAGAAGATGCTGCTAAAGATTGTAAATTTTGACAAACAGTCATACAAGTTAATTTACCTCCTATACGATTGTAAGTATGACGTGAACGATTAACTACACTTCTTTTCTCCATGTATGCACAATCCCATATTTTAACAGATCCATCTGAGGAACATGTTGCAAATAAAGAAGTATCTGGAATCACTTGTAATCTATTCACTGCACCTTGATGTTCATGAAGATGTGCAGCTAGAATTCCTTTAGGTCTCCACTTTTGTAAAGATGGCTTAGGTTCTCTGTTTATATCTTCACTATATAATCTAACAGCTTCATCTCTGATGTTTTGTTCTTGTTTATGACAAATCAATACCAATAATTCATCTCTGCATGGAGCACAGTGATGACTTTTTAAAGTCGAATCTGAAGTAGAACTTGATTTAACAGAACTTATTCCACTGGATGCTGTAGAGTTTATCAATAATGGCTGTGATCCATTAAAATCAGTAGAATCTTGAATTAGCAATTTTGATGTTGAAATCAGTTTTTGTGTTTGTAAATTGGCAGAAGTATCAGGAATCTGAGGTTGTAATTTTGGAGAAAGCGGTGGTTCATTTGTACCAAACATATGCTGCCATTCCTCATTCATCATTACATTAGGAGAATCTAAGCTTGCTCCTTTCTTCTTTCCAGCACTTTTAACTGGCAAAGCAACTTGAGTTTCAATATCTCTTCTTGGTCTTTCAAGATTAATTACATTTAAGGGAACATTAAATTTTGAATCAGAAAGATCTATAATTCCATTTTCTTCTTTACCAGTAATTCCACGAGGATCAACCATGGTATTATGATTTTTATGCATTTTTAATAAATGTTCTTTCATGACTAGAATTTTTTCTTCTACTTCTTCTGTCATTCCATCAGATTGTAGTCTGCGATAGACAGCTTTTAAAGATGGGTCCATATCTCCATAAGATGGCTGATGTCCCGAACGGGCAATGCTGCGAGAAATCTGACGTGCTCGCAAACTCTCTAATAAAGTTGGCAATAAAGGAAGTTTGATCAAATAATCGTACATTGAACGAAAAAGTGGTTCATTCAAGGCATTTAAGAGAACAACTTCTTGATCTATTTGTATAATTGTGTATTTAAGGAATGGCTGTAGTAATGGCATTAACTTACATTGAATATCTGCTAAATTCAGCAGTTTAGAAACAGCACATATAAATCCTACTGTTCCATGACGAATCCATAAATTAGGCTGGAAAAGTAAAGGAACAGTTTCTCCAACTAAGTCATAGAGCATTTGTTTTTGCATCAATCCTAATTCTGTTAAATCTGTCATTGCATGAAGTGCTTTACTTATTACAAATTCTTCTGAATCGGCTAATCCTTGCTGTAATAATGGTTTTAAAATAGGACAGCACTGCCATCCAACATAAGTAGCTACACCAACAATAGCATCAAAAAATGCTCCTCTAAGATGTCTATCTTCTTTATCATTTAGAAATGTGATCATATGAGATAACAGAACATCATTAGCTTTCTGTCTTCCAAAAAACACACAGAGACGTGTTATTCCTCTTTCTAAAAGAGTCTGCTTGATAATGTTATCTGGATCACTCAACAATGTTGAAACACTTTGCTGAATCATCTCTTGTAATGCTTGAAGTTCTGATCCATATGTTCCATAATGATGATGAGCTTGAAAATATGTATTTTCAGTATTTGACTGTTCTGTTTCAGTTTGTTCAGTTTCCAGATGAGTCATTTCTAAAAATCTTAATGCAGTTTCGGCCAATTCTGCAATGTTTTCAGCATATGCTACTCTTACTAAAACAGCCTCATCTTGAGTTATCCTTGCTAAATTTGGCAAAATATATTCTGGGAACACATTAGCATCACTCCTCGGAATACTTTTCACTTGAGTAAGACAATGAGTTAAAGTTTGTAGTGAAGCAATACGAACTCTAGGATAGCAATCATTTGATAGGTATATCATATATGGTAATAAACGATCTAAAATAATATCAGGACTTAAATATGGTGATATGTAATGCAGTATTTCCAAAGCATTCAGTTTAGCAGTACAATGTTTGAGAGCACGTAAACACGAAGTAATAAGAGAAACTATTATAATAATACCTTCACTAATCTCGTTATAATCTTTAGCTTCATCACTCAACTGAAGGGCTTTTAAAATTGTTTTAGTATCTCTTTTAATTATTGCAATCTTTTCATCTGGAGATAATACCGGAGACGATGCAAATTTTTCCATATAACCTTTTAGAAATGAATAAAAATATTCGGGAAATGCTTTGCCTCTCTGCTGTTCCAAATATTCATCTGCACTCAATCGCTTACCAGAATCTTTTTGAATCATGTGTCGAACTAACTCTCTTATATACACATCATCTATTTTTTCTAACACTTTCCAAGGACTATATTCTCCACTATGATAAGCCAACAACTGAGAAAAATCAAATGGCGGATGCCCTTCGGTAAATAACTCAGTCAACACGCATCCGAGCGAGAATATATCCATCGACGGCGTGATATCTCCCTTTTTAATCTCCTCTTCTGGTAAAACCATGTTGACAGAACTATGATGGACGATTCCTTCGGAATTTAAAGTCTTTACGAATCTCTCGGGAGCAATGTAGCACGTCCTCCTTCGGGAGGTATCAAAAAAGTATGAGAAGTCTGCGGGATTATCCTCGGGTAAGTATGTCGGTTTAAAACTAGCAAAGTCAGTCAGTAACACCCAATTCCATCCGGTAACCATGATGTTTTCGAGCTTGATGTCTCCGTGGCACACGCCCACTCCGTGACAATGGCTTAGAGCACAGAATAGCTGAAATGCAATCCATCTTTTTTCAATAGCATTCAGGAATGGTCGAGTACTGATACGATCGTACAAATTGTCTTTAACGTATTGTCGAACTAAAATTCCAGCCTTTTCAGTTAGCATTGCTCTCTGAAACGGTAAGCAGTTAGGTGCATTGATCAGCAAGGATCTAATTTCCTCCAGTCGATCTCGATGATTTCTTAAAGGAAGCGAGGGATCGTGAATAGCAAATACTTTAACCACAGTCAAACCTTCCTTATGTCGTGTTTTTGCTACTTTAAAAAACCTCGTGCTTCCTAAATTGGAATCGTAAGTAAAATCGGGAAGTTCGGTTAAATAGTGTTCGACTGGATAAATTTGAGAGGGAGCGATTCCCGCCAGCTGATTGCCCATTTTTTGTAAAATACAGTTTTATTATAAATCACATCACAATAAGTAAAGAACTGCCTACCACGGTCCAACCAGCGACATCTATCGACAATATTTATAGTCTGATTACTTCGAACCGAATGCCACATAAATAGCCCAAATATCTATCATTAAATGCAAACTTTCAACGTTCAAATACTGTTTAAATAAAAAAAATATCACTTAAATTTTTATATAAAAATAAAATATATAATATTTTAATTACTTTTGTAAATCGAAAATAACAATTCTATAGCCATCAACGAGGTCCTAGAACATATGATCATCTCATAACGTGCGACTAAATATCCAAATGACACAAAGCGCTGATTGGTCAGCTGAATGACGTCAACCCACCGAAATACAGTACTGTATAGATTATATTTTGTGGTCGTCAGAACGAATCCTGACGAAATAGATTATTTCTTTTTAGTTGTCGTAATATGGAGTGAATATAAAGTGAAAATATAGCTGATTATTTTTTTGAACATTTAACTTCATACTTGATCTTTATGCACCTCTGAACCAAATCATACACAATAGATCATTTTAATAGTGCGATTAGTGTTTTAAATTTACATGCACAGAAAATTTACACTTTGTTACAGATATTATTCATAAAAAGTTCGAGAAAGGATGAAATTTATAATTAAGATAAGTCAGAATATTCTTTGAATATTTGTCATATGCATTTAATATAGTTAGATGAAACAATAAAATTAACCAAGTTTTGTGTACCTCTGAAAGAAAAATTTTCACAAATCTTGCTTAACAAATTATAAAATATAAATGTAAAAGTTATTGAACAATTTTGAATAATGAATATTCTCCATAGATTACTCTTATCAGAATTTTTTTTTTTTTATGTTTTAGTTAGAATTGACAGTTCTTTCTGTCAATAGACATTTTGTGCTTTTGAATGTCAGTTCAAAATCTGTGTGTTAAGAAACAATACTTTTCAAATTTACAGAAATTTCATATATCTAGTTCCATCATGGATACATCTGTAAATACGTTTAATCAAATTTGTATGACCGTTTTTCAAATTAAAAGTATAGAATTCTTGTATAAATTATTTAACAATCAATAATGCTGTAAGTATTTAAATTCCTTTGAATATAATAGTTATATCTACATATAAAATTGCTTGTCCTGACTGACTGAATGACTCACTGATTCATCATCCCCCAGAGCAAACAGCTGTACCTAAAGAGGTGAAATTTGGTACACAGAGTACGTCATGAAAACGCACGCTAAGAAAGAATTTTTCGAAATTCCCCCGCGGGGGAGAGGGAGAGCATTAAAGCTAACGGGACATTCCAATTTTCAATGCTGACTCAGCGCTGATCTCAACATTCGTTAAAATTCGTTCCTTTTTTCAACGTTGAGGTAGCGCTGTTGTCAGCGCTGACTCAACACACTCAGCACTCAACAGATATGTTGACTGCTACTTTCCAATGAATTGTGGGTAATTGGTAAGACATTTGAATGGAATCCATCTTGCTGAGAATGGAATTATGGGAACTAAGCACTTCGTACTCGAGTTGGAACGTCGTTGATGACGTCAAATTGTTGACTTCAACACTCAACACTCGCGTTGAAAATTGGAAT